TTCCTGATGCAATTTAGTGACATTAGACCCAAACACACATTTTACAGCCACAGTAATCAACGAGAGAATTGCACAGTGATATTTGTTTTCACATTTTCCATGCCTCTGTTTATACTTACAACTCAATCTGCAAAAACACACGACAATGATGTCTATTGAGCTGGATTAAATGTATATGTATGATTGGACAAGGCTCAGCGACACATGATGTGGTTCTGTGGTTGCATTTGAGACATTTTAATTCCTTGTCTGACTGTTTCTATCTTGTTTTGTTGAGCACTTTGAGTTGCCTTGTGTATGAACTGTGCTATACAAATTAACCTGCCCATGCCCAATTTTTTAATGTAAGTCAGAAGAAGCCAGAGCTGGTAGGGTATTGTCCATCTACATACAGTGCATGTCATGGTGTGGACTTTTTGATTACTTTTCATGGTTATACTATATATGGATATTGGTTCTTTTCAGTGTTGCTTCATGCATTTTCAGTTGATTGCCATTCCCACCCTGCTGTGTGTCGCCTGTGTTGCACATGTCTTTCGCCGGTCTTTCGCCTGTCTTTCACCTGTGTTTCACCTGTGTTTCACCTGTCTTTCGCCTGTCTTTCACCTGTGTTTCACCTGTGTTTCACCTGTCTTCTCCTGAGTTTATCTTGTGTTTTACTTGTCTTTCAGCTGTTTTTCGCCTGTCTTTCACTTGTCTTTCGCTTGTCTTTCCCCGGTCTTACGCCTGTCTTTCACCTCTCGCTTTTCTTTTACCGCTCTTACGCCTGTCTTTCACCTCTCCTGTCTTACACCTCTCGCCTGTCTTTCACCTCTCGCTTGTCATTTACCTGTCTTTCTTTCGCCTGTCTTTACGCCTGTCTTTCACCTCTCGCCTGTCTTTCACCTGTCTTTCCCCTGTCTTTCGCCTGTTTTTCACCTGTGTTTCACCTGTGTTTCACCTGTGTTTCGCCTGTCTTTTGCCTGTCTTTCACCTGTGTTTCACCTGTCTTTCGCCTGTCTTTTGCTTGTCTTTCGCCTGTCTTTTGCCTGTCTTTTGCCTGTCTTTCCCCTGTCTTTCGCCTGTCTTTCCCCTGTCTTTCGCCTGTCTTTCGCCTGTCTTTCGCCTGTCTTTCCCCTGTCTTTTGCCTGTCTTTCACCTGTGTTTCACCTGTCTTTCGCCTGTCTTTTGCTTGTCTTTCCCCTGTCTTTCCCCTGTCTTTTGCCTGTCTTTCCCTTGTGTTGCACCTGTCTTTCGCTTGTGTTGCACCTGTCTTTCGCTTGTCTTTCGCCTGTCTTTCCCCTGTCTTTTGCCTGTCTTTCCCCTGTCTTTTGCCTGTCTTTCGCCTGTCTTTCACCTGTGTTTCGCCTGTCTTTTGCTTGTCTTTCCCCTGTCTTTCGCCTGTCTTTCACCTGTCTTTCGCCTGTCTTTCACCTGTCTTTCGCCTGTGTTTCAACTGTCTTTTACCTGTGTTTCACCTGTCTTTCGCCTGTCTTTCGCCTGTCTTTCGCCTGTCTTTTGCCTGTCTTTCGCCTGTCTTTCGCCTGTCTTTTGCCTGTCTTTCCCCTGTCTTTCGCCTGTCTTTCGCCTGTTTTTCACCTGTGTTTCACCTGTGTTTCACCTGTGTTTTGCCTGTCTTACGCCTGTCTTTCACCTCTCGCTTTTCTTTTACCGCTCTTACGCCTGTCTTTCACCTCTCCTGTCTTACACCTCTCGCCTGTCTTTCACCTCTCGCTTGTCATTTACCTGTCTTTCGCCTGTCTTACGCCTGTCTTTCACCTCTCGCCTGTCTTTCACCTGTCTTTCCCCTGTCTTTCGCCTGTTTTTCACCTGTGTTTCACCTGTGTTTCACCTGTGTTTCGCCTGTCTTTCGCCTGTCTTTTGCCTGTCTTTCGCCTGTGTTTCACCTGTGTTTCACCTGTCTTTCCCCTGTCTTTTGCCTGTCTTTCACCTGTGTTTCACCTGTCTTTCGCCTGTCTTACACCTCTCGCCTGTCTTTCACCTCTCGCTTGTCATTTACCTGTCTTTCGCCTGTCTTACGCCTGTCTTTCACCTCTCGCCTGTCTTTCACCTGTCTTTCCCCTGTCTTTCGCCTGTTTTTCACCTGTGTTTCACCTGTGTTTCACCTGTGTTTCGCCTGTCTTTCGCCTGTCTTTTGCCTGTCTTTCGCCTGTGTTTCACCTGTGTTTCACCTGTCTTTCCCCTGTCTTTTGCCTGTCTTTCACCTGTGTTTCACCTGTCTTTCGCCTGTCTTTTGCTTGTCTTTCGCCTGTCTTTCGCCTGTCTTTTGCCTGTCTTTCCCCTGTCTTTCCCCTGTCTTTCACCTGTTTTTCACCTGTGTTTCACCTGTGTTTCACCTGTCTTTCGCCTGTCTTTCCCCTGTCTTTTGCCTGTCTTTCGCCTGTCTTTCACCTGTGTTTCACCTGTCTTTCGCCTGTCTTTTGCTTGTCTTTCGCCTGTCTTTCGCCTGTCTTTTGCCTGTCTTTCCCCTGTCTTTCGTCTGTCTTTCACCTGTCTTTCGCCTGTCTTTCCCCTGTGTTTCACCTGTCTATCGCTTGTCTTTCGCTTGTCTTTCGCCTGTCTTTTGCCTGTCTTTCCCCTGTCTTTCGCCTGTCTTTCCCCTGTCTTTCGCCTGTCTTTCCCTTGTGTTTCACCTGTCTTTCGCTTGTCTTTCCCCTGTCTTTCGCCTGTCTTTCCCCTGTCTTTCGCCTGTCTTTCCCTTGTGTTTCACCTGTCTTTCGCTTGTCTTTCGCCTGTCTTTTGCCTGTCTTTCCCCTGTCTTTTGTCTGTCTTTCACCTGTCTTTCGCCTGTCTTTCCCCTGTGTTTCACCTGTCTATCGCTTGTCTTTCGCTTGTCTTTCGCCTGTCTTTTGCCTGTCTTTCCCCTGTCTTTCGCCTGTCTTTCCCCTGTCTTTCGCCTGTCTTTCCCTTGTGTTTCACCTGTCTTTCGCTTGTCTTTCGCCTGTCTTTTGCCTGTCTTTCCCCTGTCTTTCGCTGTCTTTCCCCTGTCTTTTGCCTGTCTTTCGCCTGTCTTTCACCTGTGTTTCGCCTGTCTTTCCCCTGTCTTTTGCCTGTCTTTCACCTGTCTTTCGCCTGTCTTTCACCTGTCTTTCGCCTGTCTTTCAACTGTCTTTCACCTGTGTTTCACCTGTCTTTCGCCTGTCTTTCGATTGTCTTTCGCCTGTCTTTTGCCTGTCTTTCCCCTGTCTTTCGCCTGTCTTTTGCCTGTCTTTCGCCTGTCTTTCGATTGTCTTTCGCCTGTCTTTTGCCTGTCTTTCCCCTGTCTTTCGCCTGTCTTTTGCCTGTCTTTTGCCTGTCTTTCCCCTGTGTTTCACCTGTCTATCGCTTGTCTTTCGCCTGTCTTTTGCCTCTCTTTCCCCTGTCTTTCGCTTGTCTTTCCCCTGTCTTTCGCCTGTCTTTCCCCTGTGTTTCACCTGTCTTTCGCTTGTCTTTCGCCTGTCTTTTGCCTGTCTTTCGCTTGTCTTTCGCCTGTCTTTTGCCTGTCTTTCCCCTGTCTTTCCCCTGTCTTTTGCCTGTCTTTCGCCTGTCTTTTGCCTGTCTTTCCCCTGTCTTTTGCCTGTCTTTCCCCTGTCTTTTGCCTGTCTTTCGCCTGTCTTTCACCTGTCTTTCGCCTGTCTTTCCCCTGTGTTTCCCCTGTGTTTCACCTGTCTATCGCTTGTCTTTCGCCTGTCTTTTGCCTGTCTTTTGCCTGTCTTTCCCCTGTCTTTCGCCTGTCTTTCCCCTGTCTTTCCCCTGTGTTTCACCTGTCTTTCGCTTGTCTTTCGCCTGTCTTTTGCCTGTCTTTCCCCTGTCTTTCGCCTGTCTTTCCCCTGTCTTTTGCCTGTCTTTCCCCTGTCTTTCGCCTGTCTTTCGCCTGTCTTTCGCCTGTCTTTCGCCTGTCTTTCCCCTGTCTTTCGCCTGTCTTTCCCCTGTCTTTTGCCTGTCTTTCACCTGTGTTTCGCCTGTCTTTTGCCTGTCTTTCCCCTGTCTTTCACCTGTGTTTCGCTTTCACCTGTGTTTCGCCTGTCTTTCGCCCATCTTTCACCCGTCTTTTGCCCGTCTTTCGCCTGTGTTTCACCTGTCTTCCGCCTGTATTTTGCCTGTCTTTCGCCTGTCTTTTGCCTGTGTGTCCTTAAACCCTGTACTCCCATTGTTGTTGATCGTTTTGATTTGATGTTGGACTTCTGCAACCCTGGATTTCTATTATTTCTGAGTTTTTGTGAATTAAATCTTATAATTCTGTCAGTCCTGCATTCTGGGTCTTTCTTCTGTTTTCGCCACATGACAGTCCGTGGTTCTTTCACCTCTCGCCTGTCTTTCACCTGTCTTTCGCCTGTTTTTCACCTGTGTTTCATCTGTGTTTCGTCTGTCTTTCGCCTGTCTTTTGCCTGTCTTTTGCCTGTGTTTCGCCTGTCTTTCGCTTGTCTTTCGCCTGTCTTTTGCCTGTCTTTCCCCTGTCTTTCGCCTGTCTTTCCCCTGTCTTTCGCCTGTCTTTCCCCTGTGTTTCACCTGTCTTTCGCTTGTCTTTTGCTTGTCTTTCCCCTGTCTTTCGCCTGTCTTTCCCCTGTCTTTCCCCTGTCTTTCGCCTGTCTTTCGCCTGTCTTTCGCCTGTCTTTCCCCTGTCTTTTGCCTGTCTTTCGCCTGTCTTTCACCTGTGTTTCGCCTGTCTTTTGCCTGTCTTTCCCCTGTCTTTCGCCTGTCTTTCACCTGTCTTTCGCCTGTCTTTCACCTGTCTTTCGCCTGTGTTTCAACTGTCTTTCGCCTGTATTTTGCCTGTCTTTCGCCTGTCTTTTACCTGTGTGTCCTTAAACCCAGTACTCCCATTGTTGTTGATCGTTTTGATTTGATGTTGGACTTCTGCAACCCTGGATTTCTATTATTTCTGAGTTTTTGTGAATTAAATCTTATAATTCTGTCAGTCCCGCATTCTGGGTCTTTCTTCTGTTTTCGCCGCATGACAGTCCGTGGTTCTCCTTAGTACCACACAGTCCACTCTCTCTCACTGTCGCCTCTCGTTGCAGGGACTCACTACCGCAAGTCGTGTGCGTCTTCCGGAGCCTGTCTCATCGCCTCGTCCGGATACCAGCAGTTCTGCACAGGGAAGCTCCACTCTGTCTGCATCAGCTGCTGCAACACACCTCTCTGTAACGGACCACGACAGAAGAGACGTCCCCTGCTGTCGTCCACGTCTGTCCCAGTGCCCAGGATACAGCTACTGCTACTGCTGCTACTGCTGCTGGGACCTCTGTGCTGACAAACAGGGACCGGACTATGACAGCTGTGTTTGGATGTGTCCCCTGAGGCCCCTGTGGCCCCTGAGAGTGAAGACAAGTTGGACTATTTTGTTTGTATTACAGTGTTGTTACGGGTTTTGCTACGAAGGCATTGGCAAAGTATACACAGTCATATAAAGGTGGTTTTTAAGACCTGGGAATGAACAAAGTTTAAAGCAAGGCTACTTAATTTTGCATCAAGAATTATGAAATTAACATAAGATTAGATAAACTCCCAGAGCCTCCAACGGAACCAACGGAATCCTGAAAAATTACCCTAAAGAAGTAGTTTTTTGTTTTTTTTTCAGTTTTTCCACCAGTTTTTTTAATTTTTTTATTTCATTTTTTATCTTAACTCACTGTTTTACTTAGAGCTCAGACTGGTGAATGTAACTTGAAATACAGCAAAAACATTTAAAAGGCTACCAAGTGCTAACTGCTAGCAAATAAACAGTGTGTTGCTATGGTAACTATAGTGACTAACTGCTCATGTTTCAAAAACAAAAGGTAGTTTCATTAAAATAGTGGCATAGAAATAAACTATATGTAGAGAACAAAAAAGTCACAGGGTAGAGTAAAAACACCTCAACAACTAAAAGCCATCAAATTGACTGCTCTGGGAGTTCTAGTGTTAAAGCTGCACTAACTTACTTTATTTTTGTATTCATTACGAAAATGCTATCCATATCCATCTAGTGCATTGGGATATACGTCCTTTTGAAGAAAAAGTAGCACAGGTTTGTGCTGGCGTGACATTATATTTTAGATCGAGTTTTGATGAAACAAGGAAGAGAATGTGTTTCGGGTCGCAGATTGTGACCAATCACAGCGGACCACTAGCCCCCACTTTTGTGAGAAATCTACAGGTCTCTTGTTAGCACAGACAGCTGAGTTAGCACAACAAGCTAACTTGAAACTTCCTCGTCTTCGTCACCGGTTACTGCTTACTCAGCGAAACAGCCATCCAAAAGAATGTCTCGTTCCTCCGCGCTTCCCGGTTCTATCATTCTATGGTCACGCCATCCACGTGCAAATCCATGTATTATCCATATTGGGAGACGCTAGCTCCGTCAACAACAGTGTGTGTGTGGGGGGCGATAGCTTCGTGGGTGCGGGGAGGGGAGCAGAAAGAGCGAGGCCCAAAAGGTCCGCGGCTTCAAAATACCAAAGTCAGTTAGTGCAGCTTTAATATTACGTTATTATGTTATGGTTTCCACAACAGAAATGTAAAATGTAGTGAAAAGACCATAACATGCCGTCTTTATCATAGTAAAAAACTTTAGATATTTTGCATACATATAAAAAAGATATTTGACACAATGGCCGAGGGCTCATTGGCTGGATTCTCTATTTTTCACTTTTCAGTCTGAAAAAGGTCTAAAGATGTGACCGTGGCAACATACATGTGAAAACTATGGTCAAAATCAAACTGTTTGAGAGAGACAAACTAGTTACATGTTTTAATTACATAAATGATTTGGCTGTGGTTTGAAAGTTAGGTACCCCAGCTTTATGCAGACAGTGTACGCAGTGTGTAAAGTAGCTTCTGTTTTGATATTGTGAGATCTATGTCTAAGATAAGACATAAGATTCTTACTAGTACATAAATGTTTATTACAGAAATCCTGTTTTGCTCCAAGTCAACGAGGTGCGAGAGAGATTCCACCATATTGACAAACGTACTCAATATTCAACAGTTTTGATTTTGAATTTCCAGTTTACCGTCATGGTTAGACTTCTATCCATTCATCTGTCTGTGAATCTCACACTCCATTCTTCTCTCAGTTGTAAACCAGACCCAGAGATACTTGAAAGGACCTCTCCACCTCCAGGAGAGAGCAAGGCACCGTTGTCTAGCCTGGCCTTATCCATCTGGTCCAGGATCATTTCCTACATGTACGTCTGGGTCTGATCCTAGTGGCTGCAGTTTCCTCGGTTGAATCCCCTCAGACTGTTTAGCGATTGGGGGAGGCGGGTGTTGTACGGAGGTGTAGTCAAGATTTTGCGCCAAAATAGCTGGTTGTTTGGCAATGGCGGCTAATGCGGTAGTAAAGTAATCCGCTCTGGTTCATGTTCAAATAGTAAGAAATTGATGCCGGAGCAAGAGGAATGTTCAGCAAATGTCATTGCTGCAAAGATGTTGTGGCTCTACTGCCCACGAGCTCTGTTAGTGGATGGCTAAAGCTAGGCTAAATGCTGAAGCTATGCTAAATGTCTCACTCACACGGGCACATTACACGGTAAACATTTCAATCTGCAAAAGAAGTTAACCCCTCCTACCTGTTAAAGGAGTCAATGGGGAAAATTCAGACGAAATGAAATGAGTATGATGGGAGTAAGACCAGGATAGTGAACAACAAATAATGCCAAAAAATGTATTAGAGAAAAATGTAGTTGGTCTTAAAACAATATTTTCTGATGAAAGAACTACATTTGCTTCTAACTGTGCTTGAAATAAAACTAAAGCTGCTTGTTCCAATGTTTTAAGAAATGTTTTAAAATCCAAAATCTACTTGTCCATTGTAGCACAGCACTATGTGAACTGTCTACCAGGAGGTAACGGTGTTATGTGTAAAAGCTTGTAACAGTTGCTGTTACGGTTATAAACAAAAAAACACTAAAAGGAGAAACTCTTTGCCTTTTTTGTTTCGCCAAAGTAGTTCTCAAAGGTAAGAAAGTCAGAGACTCCTGCACTGAAACTACCACATTTTCGGGATATACACCGCACTGGTTCCAAAAAAAAATATTATATAAGATATTGACACAAATATATAAGTAAGGACTTTCAAACATTATTTAATCTGCTTGGTAACAAACAAATATATATTGCAAATGTAAAATGACAAATAATACAATTGAATTGGACCTTTGTGAACGACTCATCAGTTCTGTTGGTCGACTGTTACTCAGCAAAATGTCATTAGCAACACAATAAAAATCTAAATTAATAATACGGTAATTATATGCAAATCTAGACCATAAAAGCTTTGAAAAATTGATTTAGCCGCAATGAATGGGGTGAATGCAAATATTAGACATACAGCACAGACCTCTGTCTATCCCACAATACACTAATCATCATTTATTTATTCAGACTGGTTCACACTAAAACCAACAGACAAGACTCACATAAAAAGCAAACCACAGCTTATAAAAGACAGCTTATAAAAGACAGCTTATAAGAGACAGCTACAGTATAGCAGCGTGTCCAGAGAAGAGCATAGTACTGCAACATAGAACATTGAAGATTGTTAACCGTTGTCCTGTGTCTCTTTTAAATTGGATCAATACTCTGCAATAAAGTTGAATTGAAGTTGAATCTATCAAACGTCTGCTGGAAGAAATGAGACTTTTTCTGTGGCTACATATGTGGAGAACTGTAAAACAATCTTTATTTTGTGATTTTCTTGTCCCCATCAATCGCGCTGCTGCTTTCACTGATGAACTATGTGTTGATAATAAAAACATTTAAAGCTATGTTCTTCTTTCTCTGGTCTTAGAATCAGAATAATTTGTCACACAGTCATAGATCAGGAAATTGCTTTGGCTCTTGGTGCAACAGTCAAAGAAGAGAGGTAAAGAATAGAGTAAGGCATAATATAAATCAGCATAATACTTCTAAGGTATAAAAATTGAAATAAAATCATTACAATTATTATATACAATTTACAGTCGCATTTACTTACTTTGACAGGGGTACTATACTGAGACTATATACTGTACAGATACTATATACTATACTGAGACTATACAGATACCATATACTATACTGAAACAATATACTTAATAGTTACCTACGAATAGGTGCGTAGTCCCTTAGGACTTCGCTAGTGGGATATCACGTGACCCCCAGGTCACACGCCAGAGAGATCAAATATATAAAAATATGCTCCAATCACTAGCGACCCTCCTCTATAAAAGCCCCTGCACAAGGCCGCGCCCCCTCTTGAACTCTGCCAAGCCGGGCTGGCCTGATGGGCTCGTAGCTAAGGGACTACGCACCTATTCGTAGAACATAAGTTACATTAGGTAACTATTAATTCTACGTCATGGTGCTACGTCCCTTAGGATTTCGCTAGTGGGACACAACGCGGAGGCCGTAGGAACATGTACTCCCAGCAGGCCAGCGAAGAGTGATTGGAGCCCCGCCCGAGCAAGACCCTCACACAGTGAGGCCCTGTAACACGCAGTGAGAATTGCGTGTTACAGGGCCACTCCTCCCAAGGACACCCCCAAGTAACACAGACCGAAGGCCACCCGTTGTCCCAGGACGCCTCTCCCAAGAGCTCCTGACGTGGACTACCTGACTGACCAAAGCACACACATATATCGCACCTGCAGGACGCCACTCCCAAGAGCTCCTGAACCAGGGCGAAAAGTCAACCGTCGGCCCCTAAGAGGGGAACATAAAGGTTACAACTCAGTCCGCTGCACTAAGCACGGAATGGGCCACCGACCGGTCCGACACATCCAAAAGGTAAGACCGGACGAAAGAAGAGGACGACGCCCAAGAAGCCGCACGGCACACGTCCCCCTGAGGAGGGCCGTAGAGGCCGCCGCCACCCCACGCGTGGAATGCAACCTGAAGCCCACCGGGGGGCCAGAGCCTGAGCCTGATATGCCCGCCGCACAGCCGTGGCAACCCAGTGCGCCAGCCGCTGAGCCGACAGCGGAGCGCCCCTGTTCTTGGGGCCCAGACACACAAACAGCTGATCAACCAACCTGAATGAAGACATCATGGCCAGGTAATGCCTAAGCATTCTGACAGGACACAGAAGGTGCCGCCACTCCTCCTCGGGGGAGGCATGCGGCGGCGGATGGAAGGCCCTAATCCTGATCACTCTCGACCTGAAGGCTGAAGTAATCGCCTTAGGGAGAAAGGCCGGATTGGGCCACAACTCTACCAGTCCGTCCCCCTCTCCAAAGGACAGGCAAGACGCATGTATGGAGAGCGCACACAATCGCCCGCCCTCTTAGCAGA